AGAGAGAGAGAGAGAGAGAGAGAGAGAGAGAGAGAGAGAGAGAGAGAGAGAGAGAGAGAGAGAGAGAGAGAGAGACTTCCACTTGAAATTGGTGTCGTTAATCAATCTTCTTGATTTTTCTTTCATAATTGGATTGCAAAAGTGAAAGAAAGATGGGGAATTTGTTTGTGAATTTGTTTGTGAAGAAATCACAGATTACGGAGGTTGATCGAGCGATTCTCTCTCTCAAAACCCAAACACGCAAGCTCGGCTAATACTAGCAGATTTTTCGATTCAATCCCCCAATCTTTACGTCCTTCCTATTTTGATAAAAAGACTGAAGCTTATAGGGTTTTGATCGGTGTAGTCGACGAGAAGGAGAGAGATACAGAGTCATTCCGTCGAAAGAGAGAAAGAGATGACAGCCCTTTAGCCAACACATGTCTCAAAAGACGTCTCTTCTAGCGTCTACATAAGAAACGTTCCTTCCCATTAGTCATAATTTTCTTCTTTTTCTTAATTTCCATTACCACAAACATTGTTTAATATTGAACAGCCATTTTCTGTGTTTTCAATTCAATGTTTTGAAATAAAAAGTAAGAGTGTTTTGTTTAATATTTCGCATGTTTCAAAATGAATATAGTTTTATCTTAACTCAATAATATTAAAAAAGTTGTAACTCTTTAAAAAGTAATTTATAAATTCAAACCATTATATATAAAAGCATGCATAGTTTAATTGGCCACGCACTATTCAATCAAAACTATGTTTGTTCTCTCCGTTCTAAAAACTATGTTTCTTCTCTCCGTTCTAATAACTATGTTTGTTCAAACTTCATTTTTTTTTTTTTTAACTCCAACGACACCTGAGCATTCTACTGGGATCTTAATATCTCCAGAACTGCCAAAAAAATTGGTTCAGATACCTTATTGGGTTCCTTTTTATATTTATACTTGTGGGTCTCTATTCAGAACCGGGTCTTATCTGAGATTCAACCGGACATCTCAATAATCTAAAAAAATTGTATATACTAGACATTTTTTTATATTTTCAGTATTTTTTAAGTTTTAAATATGAGTTTTCAGACATAGTTTATAATTTCGAGTAAACCTTTAAATTTAAATTTATATTAGAGCTTAACCTGCACCCCAGTGCGGGTATTTATTGTACCTTTTATATATAAAATATTATTTAAATATTTACTAGTTAATATTTTAAATATTCATCATCTTTAAGAAAAATTTATAAGCATCATAATGATAGTTTAAATGTTGAAATAAATATTGACGTGTGCGCTATATTAAATTACCGGCAAACATTAAACCATTGATATTTTTGAGTAATGTCTTTTTTAACATGAAATTGTTTCCCAACTATATAGTACTCTAAATATTTTGATTATATACGAGTCATATGTCGAGATTTAGATACATCAGATAATAAGTATTCAATTATAAACATTAAATATTATTCTACAAATAATTTTATGATAGATAAATTTATTGTTGGAAAATAATTAATAGTAAGTGAATGAAAATTTTTTATATTTTAGAAATATTTGAAATATATATATTTTAGACAACATTTAGATATATTAAAATGAATATTCGATTATAAACAATTCATATTACTCTACAAGTAATTCAAAAACAGTGAAATCTTAGAATAGACTTTATTGTTTGAAATAATTAATGGTAATGGTTAAACATATATGTTAAAAAATTTAAAATACATATATTTTAAACCTTATAAACTAAATGTGTAAAGTTTATATGATACTTGAGAAATATTATATTATATAATTAAAAACGTTTTTAAATTTGAATTTTCCTAAAATTTAGCTAAATCATTTTAGGAAATATATTGATCAGAAAATTAGTTAAATTTGATTTAGGAAATGATTTACTCCCTCTGTTTCAATTTTTTGCATATTTAACTTTTTCACACATATTAATAAAATACATTATAAATGCATAGTTTTTTGTGATTATCATTTTTCTATAAATCTAAACCAATAAGAATCCAATAAGTGCAATTAAGTTTTCTGCAAGTTGTAAATTAATCATTATTATTTGATAAAATATACCTTGAAAATGTAAAAAATATATCTTTTTGAAATCAAATTTTTTTTCTAAAACATGTAACATTATGAAACAGAGGTAGTAATAAAATAAGAAAAGACAATGATTACTTAAATATAGGTTTATTTAATTTTCAGTGGCATTGGATTGTAAATATTATTCAAGTTTTAGAATAAAATATAATAAATTAGAAAGTTGAATCAAGGCAATCAAATCAGTGACAGTATATGCACTTTTTAGAATTTTTCTACCTTAAAAGAAAATGTAGTGAATAAAATCTCTATAATATTATTTGAGAAGTCAGTTTCTTACGTGTCGCGCTCACGTTAACTCTCGCAATGGTTGATTACATAGATACCCTTAATGAATTGTTAGATTTTAAGTTTATTATTAATTTTTTTATTTAGTTTCTTTTTTACTTTTTCCAAATAGCATATATAATAAAAGGAAATATTTCTAAAATTTTGAAACAAATTTAAAAACGAAAATATATGTATATAATATGATTTTATTAAAAAGTAAAGTTCACAAAATAGTAATATACCCCATTAATATATATTTTTAAATAACATACAGTATATTTTCAAATTAATAAAAATATATATGTTCATGAACATCCAAAATTTATCAGTTACACTCTATTTTCTAATATTTTTTAGAAATCAACATATAATTTGATAAATATTATGAAAATACTTGTATATTTAAGCGATAAATAAAACTAATTTGATTTGACTTAATTAAAATAAGGAATAAATAAATATTATGAAAATACTTTTATATTTAAGCGATAAATATAACTAATTTGTTTGGACTTAACTAAAATAAAAAGTAATTATACTTCAATTTTAACTCAATATACTCATAATTAACATCCAATATAACATAATTTATATCCAAAATTAAACATTTAACTACAATAACAACATATAATTTTATAGTAATAATAATCTATTTAATTTTCTACATATAAATTAGAGGTTGACTCAAAGCATATCAAAAAGAAAAAGAAAATATTAAACAATTACAATTTATTCTTTTGTAGAATTTGTATATATACATGAGACTTTAAAATATTATCATTATATTC